ACATCCACCCCACTGCAGGGGCCCCTTCTCCACCCCTCTCCATCCCTGGGGTCCCCCCAGCCCCACCGGGGGTGGGGGTGACCTTGTGGGCTGGAGCACACAGCAAACACCATCAGGTGGAGATAAGGAGACGCCAGGAGCCTCCCTGACGTGTCATCAGGGGCTGGCCATGGCTATCAGGTGTTTGCCCACGTAATAAACATGGTGGCCTGGCCTCAAGCATTGTCAAAGGAGCCGGGAGGCGTCTGCCCCTTCCAGGTCTARTAACAGCACCTGATAAGAGACCCACAGCAAGCGAGGGCAGAGCTGGGGGGGACCAGGGAYCTCCCTCCGGCTCTGTCCCCCTGGCAGGACCTGGAGCAGCCACCACAGAGCAGGTTTTGGGGTCTGGTGGGTGCTGCCCTAACAGCGAGGCAAAGGGTGGAGGAGCCAGGGCACCCAGTAGTCCCAGACAATCATAGAAATCCAAATCCCCCAAAAATGTTCATGTATTTGAGTGATCTGGGGGGGTGAGCTGCATTTATGGGGCCCCCATGCAGCCTCTGTCACACTTCATTCACCTCTGGCTAATGAAACCAGTGACCRCCAAGAAAGAAATCCATGCACAAAGATAAATCTCTCCAGCTTTAGCTTGGGCATCCAATGTTAGGAAAAGTGACCCTGGGGGCTGGGAGGGTTCGCTGTCAGGGACAGGGGTCAGATCCTGGATGTGCTGGGGATAATGAGGGGGTGGGTGCCCCTTTGCCAYAGCAGGTGAAGGGTCCTGGCCCCATATCCCCCCTCGTGAGCCCTGACACCTCCTCCTGCTTTCATTAAAAATGCTGGAGRGAGAACCCCCCGGGAGCCCCAGCCCCGGGCAGCGCTGGTCAAGGTAGGCTGATCGCAGGGCCCGCAGGCGGCGGGGATGGCCGGGCTCTATCTCCCTGCCAGGGACATTTCCTGTGTCCCGCGGCTCCCGCGGCCAGCCCGGCATCAAAGGCACCAGAAGTCGATTAATCAGGGCCAGTTCGGGCTGAGCGCGCAGCAGATGGGCCGATAAAGCTGCACGGAGGAAATGGTGCTGCAGGGGCGGCCGTGCCTCAGTGGTCACCCTGGGACCAGCAAAGGGTGGGATCCCCGGGGGGGATGGTGCTCATCACCCCTTTCCAAACACCCCAAACAYCCCTCACACCTCCCCTTTGCAGCCCCTTCCTTCACYCTCACCAGGGGTCTCACAGCAATCCCACACCGTATTTACTCTGTGGTCATTGCAGACATTTTTTTCCCGTCCCCTGTCAAATCTCAGGAAGAAAGTTTATCTGAATGCAAGTTCAAGGCTCTCTCTTATTTATCTAGCGATCAATAAGGGCCACATATTTCCCACAGTCCCCAGAGCTGGCTCTCAGAAAGGGACTATTGTCTAAGGAAAGCCTCACACACCTGATTTGAACCAGGATAAGTCCGGCCTTACACCTGCAGTGGGCAGATGATAAAGGTTTATGGGTTGGGGGAAGCTGGGGAGCACTGCACTCCCCTTGGCTCCAGCCAGGGTTGATCCCACTGGACACAGGCAGCACAGCCAGCTTGGTTTGGTTTGCCCTTCTCAGCCCAGCAGGATGCTCCCACTCCCATGGAGCTGCCCCAGGGATGAGCAGGGCCTG